GTCTAAATTTTAAGTTTGTATTGACCAAGTTTAATTGTTATCACCTATTTGTTTACCTGAATTCAGAATACATACAGAATTTTGTCTAAAGCATCAGAGAAACTTTATTGAGAGATTATGATAATGTGTCCATTACCTATATGGGTACAATGTGTCGATTCCCCATATGGGCACAATGTGTAAAGCCCATTTATACTGTCCCCCCCACAGTGATATTGCTGGAATATTGCTAAAAGCTGAGTAAAACCCAACTCACTCACTCACTCACTCACTCACTAGCACATAATAATTCACTCTTAATGATGACAAAACAATATTTCATTTCTTGATCTTCATCAGGTGAATGCTCTGTAAGTGCATAGGGTACTATATCTATATCATGATGTTTACACAACACAAGTGAGTGAGTGTGTGAATTGGGTTTAATGCCGCTATTAACAGTATACCAGTTATACCATGGCGTGTCAGCTTAATGTGGTAGGAAAGCCCGAAGTGATGCAGGTCGCAGACGTTTACCACTTCGGTGAAACCAATGAGCACGGGCATGGTGCTGACAAACCTAGAAATATAATCGGCGTGGAGCGGGATTCAAACCCACGATCATAAGTTTCTGGCATGCACAAAGGGACGCAACTCTGCACAGCGAATCGCAGCGCCTTAGACAACTGGGCCACCCGTGCCCCCACAACACAATGTCATACAAAGAATAAAAGAAGTTAAAATCAATAAAAAAGTGTCATGTATTCATGTTTTCCTAACTCTAAATGCCTTTCAAAGATTGAATATATATCAAGTACAGTAAACTATGGTTATAACGAACTCAAATGGACCACTAATTTTTGTTTGTTATAACCGTAGTTCGTTATAAGCATATATACAACATCTATACAGCAAATGGTCGGGACCGAAAATTAAGTTCGTAATATCCATCAGTTCGGTATAAGCGTGTTGGTCATAAAACCATTTTACTGTAATGGTTTCCCCAGAATGGCACACCAAGAAGTGATAACTCCGTCCTCTATCTGACATGAGGGACTGCACTTCTTACAGAGACATGATAAAAGCCTCACCACAGACATCGGAAGGAATAATAGATGTTCCTGAGTCCTATAAAGTCTTCAGACTTACAGCAGGAGAAGAAGAACCACATGCAAACCATTTGACGCTGCCCTCATTAAGATAACCTGACTGCAGAATAATGGCATAATGTAAGGGGATCTGGATTCAATGATCAATATTCAAGGGATACCAAATCTTCTGGCGGAATGTTCCAGTAAGTTCTTGAAACGGTGCCAATGATGGTGAAGTTGATGCATTCCTCTGTGAGTGAGTTCAGGTAGGCTATGTATCACTCTGTCAGTGACCGGATACACCAGCAAGAGGTGGGAATGAGTAGGTGGAACAGATGTATTTATTTCCGACATGGATGACACAGTTGTTTTATTTTAACATTCCAGCAATATCATGATGGGGACACTAGAATAGAATAGCCGTCCACCTTGCACCCATGTTGGAAATCGAACCAGGGTAAGGAGCGAATGCTTTACCCACTAGGCCACCCCACCATCCCTCAAGTGATTACAATGGTCATGTTGGGCAGATACATTACTGTTCAGAAAAATGTTCCCTGATTGTGACTTAAACTTGAGCACCATGCAACAACACAGTTCCACAGATTACATTGAATGGTCAACTGGTCTGTGTAGGTACACTACTGTTCATATTGAAGTCCCTCTGGTTGTGTCAACTGGTCTGTGTAGGTACACTACTGTTCATATTGAAGTCCCTCTGGTTGTGTCAACTGGTCTGTGTAGGCACACTACTGTTCATATTGAAGTCCCTCTGGTTGTGTCAACTGGTCTGTGTAGGCTCACTACTGTTCATATTGAAGTCCCTCTGGTTGTGTCAACTGGTCTGTGTAGGTACACTACTGTTCATATTGAAGTCCCTCTGGTTGTGTCAACTGGTCTGTGTAGGTACACTACTGTTCATATTGAAGTCCCTCTGGTTGTGTCTTCAATCAGAGAACCAACAACACAGTTCTACAGATTACATTGAATGATCAACTGGTCTGCGCAGGTACACTACTGTTCATATTGAAGTCCCTCTGGTTGTGTCTTCAATCAGAGAACCAACAACACAGTTCTACAGATTACATTGAATGATCAACTGGCCTGTGTAGGTACACTACTGATCATATTGGTTATTCTCTGGCATTGACATTTCATATTTCATTAATTACAATATGAAAGTTGAATTCCAAAAACTCTTTATGTCTATTGCTAATTTACAATCATCCCTTTTATTTGGAGTGGGTGGGGGTGGGTGTGGTGTTGAGGGGGTGATGGTAGGATGGTGGGAATTTTTACAAATCATTATTCACACTTCGTTTCGGCTGACAGTAAACTGTAGCTATGAAATAGTTTGCAGTCTACATTGATTGGCATAGGGTGTGATTATGGCTGCTGCTGCTGGAAGCTGCAGATTGTCAGGTAATCAGTTTACCTCATTGATTGCCACAGGTGAGTCATTCTGGCTACTGATGATATAGATTTGTTGCCTCCGTGGTCAGTTCTAGGATTACCTTGGATTATTATGACAAATTTCCTGGACCAATTCCCCAGCACAGCTTCGTTTAGAGTCTGGTTCCAATGATACGATGCCACAAATAGCCGACCCCCATGAGATGGTCATGATGGTTTTCTGCATGTCAAACAAATGTTCAGCAATAGTGATTCTTTGTTTCCAGTTTATTACAGAAATAAATAATTACTTTTTAAAAAATCAGAGCAAACCCCCAACCCCCAAATAAATTTATAAATTTTCAGAAGCCATTCTTAGATGCTTCATTTAAAACACAACTTGAATTAAATGCTTTTGTAAGTAAATGCAATTTTTTTGTTTCCAAAGTTAATGAAAAATACTATGTGTTTGTTGAAATGTTGATGTCCCAATGGATGCAATGTCAATAATGAGTTCGGACACCATAATGGAACAAAACCATACAAAGGCAAGCAGAGTCATGTTTTCTGCTTATTGCCTGATTAGCAGTAGCATCAAACATATATGGCAGATAGGTGTCCAGTAAAATGCAGGTGTACTGAATTTCAAAAGGTTGGACCTTTCTAAAGTTTCAGTCATACTGTAACTGTTGTCTGCACATGATCAAGTCTGTAAAAAGGGTGCAGAAGTTGATAGCACAACCAACATACCCAGGGCTGATTGCTAAGTTCTAAGCCGACTCTACATGTTCCTCTGTCTGACCATTTTCTAAAAGTCACAGACCCCTGCATATTTTATTGAGTTATCTCTGCGGAAAAAAATCTCAATTGACTTTTTTGTGGATATACATCTGTGACATCCTGTCATGTCCACAACACAAGATTTCACATTTTAGATTTCCTTCTTGATGAGGCTCAGAGCATCTAAATAATGCCCTAATTAGGGTGCAATGACATCAAATTAACCCACAATCAGGGTACAATGACACTCAATCATCCAACAATCAGAGTACAATGACACACAACCAACCAACAATCAGGGTACAATGACACTCAATCATCCAACAAACAGGGTACAATGACACACAACCAACCCACAATCAGGGTACAATGACACTCAATCATCCAACAATCAGGGTACAATGACACACAACCAACCCACAATCAAGGTACAATGACACTCAATCATCCAACAATCAGAGTACAATGACACACAACCAACCCACAATCAGGGTACAATGACACACAATCATCCAACAATCAGAGTACAATGACACACAACCAACCCTAATCAGGGTACAATGACACTCAATCATACAACAATCAGAGTACAATGACACACAACCAACCCACAATCAGGGTACACTGACACTCAATCATCCAACAATCAGGGTACAATGACACACAACCAACCCACAATCAGGGTACAATGACACTCAATCATCCAACAATCAGGGTACAATGACACACAACCAACCCACAATCAGGGTACAATGACACTCAATCATCCAACAATCAGAGTACAATGACACACAACCAACCCACAATCAGGGTACAATGACACTCAATCATCCAACAATCAGAGTACAATGATACACAACCAACCCACAATCAGGGTACAATGACACTCAATCATCCAACAATCAGAGTACAATTCACACAATCATCAAACAATCAGAGTACAATTCACACAATCATCAAACAATCAGAGTACAATATGACACAAAACCAACCCACAATCAGGATACAATGACACACAATCATCCAACAATCAGAGTACAATTCATACAATCATCCAATAATCAGAGTACAATCCCTGACAAAACATTCTGTCATATCTTGTCTCTTGCCTCAAGAAATGGTTTGGCATATGGAATCCAACCGAAAGCTCATCCATAGTACCAAGCAAAATCTCTTCAATATCAAAGATTTGTATTTGTCCAGTCACAGTATCACAGATACCAACATTTCACTTGATACAAAATGCAGCTAGTTAGAATCAGCAGAACATGAACAAATGTATCAAAATCCACTCTCTGCAAATCTATATGAACATAGAATATGTTTGAAGTATCGTACTGCCGACTAACATATTGCAGTGTAACACTGGTACAAAGAACAGGGTCTAATTGCTTAGAAAATCGGTTACTTTTCTCAAAAGATCGTATTTTTGAAATTCATGGAAGTGCAATCCTCTCAGATGCACTTGATTCAATTGCTTCAAACTGTTCTTCAGTAGCGAGGCTCACACATCTTATTTGAACAGGACATCATGGTCGACTGTTTCATTACAGCAAATCTGATTAATCAATTCCAAGGTTTTTGTAAACTACCTCTCGCCACTGTAGAACTTGGGTTATTGAAATCCTTCCAATGGTTTTCCTTAATTCATGAGATAGAGGCCTGGTTTCAATAGGTGCCATGCATAGAATACCTATAGGATGCATAATGCACTATTTCCAAGATGACAGCACTGAAGTGCAGCACCTCTTGGCTCAATCACACCTCGTCTCTCTCCTGTAAGTTGTTCACCTCGTCTCTCTCCTGTAAGTTGTTCACCTCGTCTCTCTCCTGTAAGTTGTTCGCCTCGTCTCTCTCCTGTAAGTTGTTCGCCTCGTCTCTCTCCTGTAAGTTGTTCGCCTCGTCTCTCTCCTGTAAGTTGTTCACCTCGTCTCTCTCCTGTAAGTTGTTCGCCTCGTCTCTCTCCTGTAAGTTGTTCACCTCGTCTCTCTCCTGTAAGTTGTTCACCTCGTCTCTCTCCTGTAAGTTGTTCACCTCGTCTCTCTCCTGTAAGTTGTTCACCTCGTCTCTCTCCTGTAAGTTGTTCACCTCGTCTCTCTCCTGTAAGTTGTTCACCAGGCTGTTGAATCATTAACAAGTCTTAAACAGGTCTTCCAGCTTGGGCATGGGTTGCCTAGCTGTCTGGAGTGCTGCAAGTTAATATGCAGAGTTGTGTCCCTTGGGTGTGCCAGGATCTAATGGTGTTGGTTTCGGCCTGATTACAATCACTGGTTAACACAAAGTTATCCTTTTCCAGATAATATGGAGATGATATACATTGAAATGTGGAGGTCACATTTACTGAATCTTGAAGGTCACGCATTTAGGTACACTGAAACCTTGCTAATATGGACCCTGTTAATCCAGGAAAAACCTTCTACTAGACAATTATTTCTTGGGTCCCTTACACATGCACAAAGAAGTGCAAGGTCCTGTGTACTGGTTAAAAATCAGGTGAAGTTGAACAGCTTTGGTCGCGAGGATTCCTTGGATGGGTGACTGTGTTTGGCAGCTTGGCTCCTGAGAGTTGCAAAGGCTTTGGTCCTGCCCCACACTGAAGCACATGTAGCATATGCGGTGCTGCCTTAGGCAAGAGACTTTGTTTGAATATGCCTCTGCTCATCCAGCAGTAAATGGGTACCCATTAGAAGGACATGGTGCTGTGGCTGTTAATCTCCTCACAGGCAGCTTGGGTTGTATACTCTCCAGGGAGCTGAGAATGAAAATTGTGTGAACACGGATCCATTGACCAGGGTTAAAATGTACCACTTGGAGCATGCTTTAGGCTGTGGATTTGGCACATTATAAATAAGCACATTATTATCATTATTATTATTACTGCTCTGTTCCAATGTTTTGATGATCCAGAGGCTTGTTCACTCAACTGATTTCAGTGGGAATACTAACATCAGGATTAACATGGTTTCACTGGAAAGCTTTAAGTAAATCCTTTTTTCAGCAGCTGTAAAGCCCTCATGAGGATATCAGGTCAGAACAGGTCACTGCAACTCATGCTTTGAGTAAATACGTCTTTCAGCAGCTGTAAAGTCCCTGTGAGGATATCAGGTCAGAACAGGTCACTGCAACTCATGCTTTGAGTAAATCCATCTTTCTGCAGCTGTAAAGTCCCTGTGAGGAAATCAGGTCTGAACAGGTCACAAGCAACTCATGCTTTTAGTAAATACGTCTTTCAGCAGCTGTAAAGCCCTCATGAGGATATCAGGTCAGAACAGGTCACAAGCAACTCATGCTTTTAGTAAATACGTCTTTCAGCAGCTGTAAAACCCTCATGAGGATATCAGGTCAGAACAGGTCACTGCAACTCATGCTTTGAGTAAATCCGTCTTTCAGCAGCTGTAAAGTCCCTGTGAGGATATCAGGTCAGAACAGGTCACTGCAACTCATGCTTTGAGTAAATCCGTCTTTCAGCAGCTGTAAAGTCCCTGTGAGGATATCAGGTCAGAACAGGTCACTGCAACTCATGCTTTGAGTAAATCCGTCTTTCAGCAGCTGTAAAGTCCCTGTGAGGAAATCAGGTCAGAACAGGCCACGAGCAACCCATGCTGGTTGTGAGAATCGACCAAATGGCTCCGGTGCTTAGGCCCGGTTGAATGTTATCAGCGTGGATTGTTGCTTATAATATCAATCACTGGACTGTCTGACCTAGACTTGGTTATGTACAAGCCGCCTGCATATAGTTATAATAATACTAAGTGAGGCATTAACAACAAACGAACACAACATTACAAAGTTCCGGGATATCCAAAAACTTAGAAACCCCAGTAATGTCTCCTCTTCTGTTGTTCATTATAAAACGACTCCTAATTATGTGTGCTGATCTGTACTCAGAGTCAATAACCTTTTATAAGATGGTTAGTTTTAAAACTCAGACAATTGCATCTAAATTTACAATTGAAAATAGAAAATGTCAGTGTGCATTTTATTGTGTTGGGTCCACTTTTCAACTGCCGTGCCAAATTAACAGTTTACTACAGAGTCAAATGGGGAAATCTAGACTAACACCTAGTCTCTGAAATGAACATATCGTACAGAAAAAACAGTTGTTCAGTTATCTTAATAAAAATATAATAAAAGGGAGCCCAGTGACTTTCTTCATTTTCAGACACTGCAGTAATCTAGACTTGCCAAACATTATAGACTTGCATGGGCTGTATTTGATATATTTGTATCAGGGTCTGTATGACAGACTAGGGGAAATCCTTCAGTCTTTACAGTTTTGCATAAAAAGTATCATCAATAAGTTTCAACTTTTTAGTATACTTATTGATAAGACGTTCATCTATATAAGAAATATCAACATTTCTGTATGGTAGTGTGCATATTTTGAAGCAAATGGAAAAAAAATGTTCACATTTACGCATTTCAAACATGATGTCATGCAGTTCTATGACACCATGCAATGAGTTTTTCCTGTAGGGACATCAGTTTCAAAAATGTTGCGGCATTACTATAATCCCCGTTTAGCTTAAGCAATACACGACATGTCATAAAATGGAAATTAATTCACTTGTTGGGTTGTTACACCATATATTTCATGATTTGACTTTTGTCTTTTTTCTCGGATGTATCACTTGGTTGGTGATAGACTATTTACGGTATGAAACTCAATACAAAACAGTTCAAGATCCAGTGAACACAAACTCATAACACCAGACATCCTTGATCATACTTATTGACATGTTCGTTGCCTCTGATATATACCTGTTACCTCCTCATCTGTCCGGGATGCCCTGTATCAGCAACCCTTATCACAGTCACCCGCTCGGATGGGCCTTTGTCTGGTAATCAACTGGTAATGAACTCCATATGGTGAACAATCTGACAATCCAGCAATGTAACCCGTAAAGATGGTTGGAAGAGCTAGATGCCTGAAGAGTTGGACTTGAGAAGAATAATCAGCCAAGTACTTATCACTTCCTGTTCTAACCGTGTTTATTCCTGCATAATTTAATACAAACTTAGATCAATATGACCGGCCCAGTTATACATGACCTTATTTGTTATCAGATTTATCAGGAACTATATATGTCACTAAACCTCAAAGTTACACCATTAAACTCTTTGAAATTAAACAAAATATGACCAGCAAGTGCCGTCTCCAGAAACAACACAAGGCGTGATTGGTTGATTCAGGAATAGAAATAACAACGAGTTACATGACCAGGGTTCCTCATTGGGTCTAGGTCACAAAGGTCAACAATGAAAACAAGGCACTTTCATTCATAAATCGTAGTGAAAACGTAATAGCACTTCCAAATATGGTACACATTTCTTGGAAATTGAAAGATGCAAACATTTCTAAAAATTTATGAAGCAAAGTAGTCCGACTATTGACAGGCAAACACAGACAGAAAAAACACACTAAATTTTAATGAAATTAGGGGCAATCTTATTAGGATAAACACACTTGATATTTCTTTGGCATATTTTAACCAACATCGCGCCAAGACTGCGTCAACCCTGAAGATTGGATGGATTGAACATATCGACAAATGGTCAAGCTACCCATCATTCGTTTTCAATATCTGTTTGCGTTCATCTGAGATGATCTTTGATCAAAGGTGATATTGGTAGATCGTGAATTTATTCATTATTATTGACCCATGTATCCTACAATGACAAAGGATACATGGGTCATTAAAAAATACTTTGTGTGTATACAGCCCCTCTGGGTTAATAAAGATAATCTTTAAATTAGCTGATATTATTAACTGATTATATGACTGATCAATCGCGATTTTAAATCTAAAAACATAAATAGATACAAATCTCATGCTACATCTAGATTCCGTAATTATTTTGTCCTTTTTAAGAAAATAAATAAATAAAATTGAGACAAATTTAAATTAATATTCTCTAAAATTGTTTGTTTGTTCCATTAATGAAGGCCCAAAAAGCATGTTCTGTGAGTATGGATAAGGAGAACTGACCTTTGAGGGGCAGTCGGGTAGCCTAGTGGTTAAAGCGTTTGCTCGTCACGCCGAAGACCCGGGTTCGATTCCCGACATGGGTACAATGTGTGAAGCCCATTTCTGGTGTCCCCCGCCATGATATTGCTGGAATATTGCTAAAAGCTGTGTAAAACCATACTCACTCACTGACCTTTGTGTTACTAAGCCATTGTAAATTGACAAGATTGTGGTGACTGCTTAACATTTAAACTAAAAGGTTGCTATATTAAAATTCTCCCTGATAAGTAAAATATCTGCCTAATACTAAAGGCATTAAAATTCTCCCTGATAAGTCAAATATCTGCCTAATACTAAAGGCATTAAAATTCTCCCTGATAAGTAAAATATCTGCCTAATACTAAAGGCATTAAAATTCTCCCTGATAAGTCAAATATCTGCCTAATACTAAAGGCATTAAAATTCTCCCTGATAAGTCAAATATCTGCCTAATACTAAAGGCATTAAAATTCTCCCTGGTAAGTCAAATATCTGCCTAATACTAAAGGCATTAAAATTCTCCCTGATAAGTCAAATATCTGCCTAATACTAAAGGCATTAAAATTCTCCCTGGTAAGTCAAATATCTGCCTAATACTAAAGGCATTAAAATTCTCCCTGATAAGTCAAATATCTGCCTAATACTAAAGGCATTAAAATTCTCCCTGATAAGTCAAATATCTGCCTAATACTAAAGGCATTAAAATTCTCCCTGATAAGTCAAATATCTGCCTAATACTAAAGGCATTAAAATTCTCCCTGATAAGTCAAATATCTGCCTAATACTAAAGGCATTAAAATTCTCCCTGATAAGTCAAATATCTCCCTAATACTAAAGGCAGCCTCTGAGAATGTATCTAATGTATGCTGATGCTTTTCTTACAAACATTATAAGTTGTACTCAACCGAGGTATATTTTCCCAAGCATTATAACGACCTGTTTCTTCTCTGGTTGGTATTTTCATTCCGTGTAGCACAATATTCTTGCCTGTTATACATTTTAAAATATTTAGAGCCTGTATACCACATGGCAGTTAGCTATTGATTTGTAGCTCGCTGTAATTCAGCCACTGAGGCCATACACATGAAAGGACAAGTCTTTGAAGCCCTGCTTTGGAAATGTTAGAAATTATTATCTGAAGTATGCCATAAAATAGGTGTGTTTTGTTGTTGTAAACTGATCATAAACTGAAATGTGCAATTACATCTGAATGATTTCATAACAACACTAATTGCCTTCTACAGTTTGGAAAGAATTGCTGTGAGCCTGTTGCTGACACAGGAAACACACAGGCAAATTTGACAAGGTGACATTTGGAGGTCAACCACTGAAGTATTTGCTGTTGCTTGATATT